CAAAACGAGTTTCAGTTCTAAAATTAAAAATTACAAGTACATTACCTTCATCCAGAAAATCAGAGAGTTTCAGGTCGGCGCCAGAAACTTTCACAAACTTTTGTTCATGGTTGAACTTAACTTTAATGAGTATCCTTAATCCTAAAAGAAACATCAGCAGTTATTTATTTCTCAACGTATTCGACATAGTGTATTTTTTATTTAAATAATGTTAACACAAGAAAAGCACAGAAACGCAGTTAGACTTACTTTCTCCGTCGCGTGCAGACAAAATGGCGTAATCGCCCCACAAGGCAGAAGTCGTTGAGGGTGGAGTCAAGACAATTTGGCGCGTCTTTTTGCACTTTTAGTGTAAAAATAAAATCACATCATGTTGCACCCTGCAACTACACAGACAGGGTGTAGTCATCAACAGTGTAGATTGTTAATTCAACATTTTGGGAGTTATTAACATTTAACACTGCATTTTTTACACTGGTGATTTTACTGTGTGCACTTGTGATCGATGTGATACCTCTTCATTCACTGCTACGAATTGATGGCGGTCAGATAAGTACGATTTGAACCATGCTAATGCACTTCCATTAATGCCAACAAAGTTTTCTAGTCTATGCAAAAGAATGTTGTGGTCAATAGTGTCGAACGCAGCGCTAAGATCCAATAGCACTAATAGAGAGATACAACCACAATCAGATGATAAGAGCAGGTCATTTGTAACTCTAATGAGAGCAGTCTCAGTACTATGATACGGTCTAAATCCTGACTGGAAATCCTCACAGATACCATTTTTCTCTAAGAAGGAATATAATTGTGAGGATACTACCGTTTCTAGTATCTTGGACAGAAAAGGAAGATTCGAGATCGGTCTGTAATTAAATAGTTCTTTGGGGTCAAGTTGTGGTTTTTTGATGAGAGACTTAATAACAGCCAGTTTGAAGGTTTTGAGGACATATCCTAATGACAATGATGAATTAATAATAGTCAGAAGAGGATCTATGACTTCTGGAAGCACCTCTTTTAGGAGCTTAGATGGAATAGGGTCTAACATACATGTTGTTGGTTTAGATGATTTAACAAGTTTATACAATTCTTCCTCTCCTATAGTAGAGAATGAGTGGAATTGTTCCTCAGGCGATCTATAGCAAGCTATCTGATGCGATACTATAGCTGACGGCTGCATGGTTACAATTTTATCTCTAATAGTATCGATCTTAGAAGTAAAGTAGTTCATAAAGTCATTACTGCTGTGCTGTTGGGAAATGTCAACAATTGTTGATGCTTTATTTTTCATTAATTTAGCCACTGTATTGAATACATACCTGGGGTTATGTTTGTTTTCTTCTAAAAGAGACGAAAAGTAATCAGATCTAGCCGTCTTTAATGCTTTTCTGTAGGATAGGGTGACTCTGTGTGGTGGTCAGTGACAGATATTAATCTTTTCCAACAAGTTTAAAGTGATTTTTACCCTTTATGGGCATTTTTACCTTTGTAAAACCATTTTTTCTAGAAGTGTGTCAAATTCTTACATTTAATCAATAAAGTCAATTACAATAATAAGACATTTGGGGCTGTTACCAAACAAATACAATTATTATCAACAAAATTCATGCAATGCAGAGGAAACACAGAAGCTACATCTGAAGTGGCATTTAGATGCATATACACACCGTTTAATGCAAGGCATGAATGCTTTAACCTGCAGTTACAAATGCAGAAATAAAGTTTTGATATTTTAATCTTAAAACGTTGAATGCTGATATTTGAAATGATTTAAAAATACATAAAAATGTACTTTAAAATGTGAAATTAAAACCGCCAGTAGGTGGCAGCAAGTCACTGTTAATAAGTTAGTCATTGCGACTGAACCAAATCATTTAAATGGTTGATTCATTCAGGAACTAAACACTGTCATGTTTGTCAGAGACGCAAAACAGTGCTGTGGCTTTGTTTGGAACCATTTTTGTTGGCTAAATAGAGGGGGAAAAAATAAGCAATATGGTGTCTAAAACGTAAGTCTCTTAATATTAACTTCTTGTTTATTGAACTGTTGTATAAAATCGATCACATTTCTGATTTTTGCGAAAGAAATGGCACTCTTCGTGTGATATTAATCAACTATATGAAATGATATAAATATAAATTTTCTGCCCCCATATCTTGAATTTTGGGAGCATTCTAAATGCATTTTATGATACTAAATCATGCAGTGAAAAAACACTCTAAATGAGCAGTCAGTCTAGCTAGTGTTTAAGCACTCATAACTCCTCTTATAATCAATAAAGCTGCCCATACACGGTATGATAAATTAATCTCTAACTTACATCATACGTACATCTGCACTTTGTTGCTTACGATGAGGGAATTCGCGAGTTTCAGTCTGAACAAAACTCTGGGGTTTCAGCAATGACTAATCTGAACACCTCTGATTATCTACTGCATTCCTAAGCTCAACAGAATTGTGTGCGATTGGTTATAATGAGCAACGCTGTAAAAATGCGTAAAAATAAAATATGACGTAACATAAGCAGGTCTAAATTTAATACAGCACTCGACTTTATTCAACTCAACTACTACACAGAGCCGTTGTTCACAGGCAAGCTGCGCAACACCACGTTCATAATCGCGCGATTTTTTGCGCAGCTTGTCAGTGAACAACGGCTCTGTGTAGTTAATGCTGCTCCATGTGAAAGCACGCACGTGATGGAGATTTACCACTGATTACAGAAGCGGCTTTACTGACGAGATGCGCGTTAAATATCGCATGCGATTTATCGTGCAGCCCTACTGGAAACCATATAAAATGTATGCATTCCTTTCTTAATTTATGAACACACAGGCTACATTTTGTAAGTTTTTATGTCTAAACACTTATTTTATTAAAAGTTTTTTTTTTCATTGTATGGTAGACGTTTTATATTTTATATTTATAGATGTTGTTTGTAATGTGCTATACAAATCATATGTAAGTAAATATTATAATTTATAACAACAACAACAATAATAATAATAATAATATAGTTTTCACCCAGGCTCACAGAATGATGACTGAAGATAAGTCAATTTTCTATGAACTTTAAAATGTTTTACTTTTTACCAAAAAAGAAAAGAAAAAAAAGTCAGATGACAAATTATAATAGAAGCAAATGCACAATGGTAAAAAATAACATTATAAAAATATATATAATAGCAAAGAGTATTTAAAAATCAACATAAAAACATTTTAAAATGATCAACAAGTCTCTGAGTGGGCTCGAAATACCAACCTAATAATAAATAATAACAGATTAATAATACTGGTTAACACACAAAAGCTGAGTAGAAACGTTATAAAACAATATATATTAGCAAAGTGTGTGTATATATAAACAAAGAATATTTAAAAATAAACATGTAAAATAAAAAAAGTCCCTGAGTGGGCTCAAAACACCAACCTGATAATAAATAATAATAGATTAATAATACTAGTAAACACACCAAAGTAGAAACATTATAAAACTATATAAATATTAAAGAGTATTTAAAAATAAATATATAAACATGTAAAATAATAAAAAGTCAGAGTGGGCTCGAAACACTAACCTAATAATAAATAATAATAGATTAATAATACTAGTAAACACACAAAAGTAGAAACATTATAAAACTATATAAATATTAAAGAGTATTTAAAAATAAATATATAAACATGTAAAATAATAAAAAGTCAGAGTGGGCTCGAAACACTAACCTAATAATAAATAATAATAGATTAATAATACTAGTAAACACACAAAAGTAGAAACATTATAAAACTATATAAATATTAACCCTCTGGGGTCTGAGGGTGTTTTGGGGCCCTGGAGAAGTTTTGACATGCCCTGACATTTTTTTTGTTTTTTGTTTTCAGTATCTTAAAAACATATTAATGGCTAAAGTCTGATAACACTGTATTCAGCACAAACTGGGCAACAATAATATGTGAGCAGCAGGCGTGGACTGGCCATCGGGCGGCTGATTTGGCCCCCCAGCTAACAAATTTAAGTTCTGAGAACGTTTATCTAACGCTCTGTTTTGGTTGTGGGAACGTTATTTGGAATGTTCCAAAAACGTGGAAATGTCTAGTTTGCTTAACGTTGCTAGAACGTTATTTTATGGTTAGCATAACGTTCCTGCAATGTTCTTGCAACCTAAATTTCATTAAAAAATATAATGTTCTATGAACGTTTATTTGGAACATTCCAAGAACATTAAAATGGCCAGTTATCTTAACGTTGCTGAAACGTTATTTTATGGTTAGCATAATGTTCCTACAACATTCTTTCCACCTACATTTATTTAAAAAATACAACATTCTAAAAACATTTATTTGGAACATTACAGTTTAGTTTAATAAAATGTTATTTTAAGATTAGCAGTGTTGCAACATTCTCGTTCAACATCATTTTTATTAACACAAAATTCCAGATATGAGCAAGAATATAATTACATATGCATTTCAACAGGTATCTGAATTATTAAAGATAATCCCTTTAAAAAATCTCAATAACACATTGAACACACTGGTGAAAATTGCATATCATGTAAAAAAAAAAAAAAA